TGCCCTTTGCAGAGATCTTCACATGCACATGGAGGCCACCTGTCAATTTTTTTTTGTTTGTTTTTTTGTTTTTTACAGAACCCAAAATACACCAGTTTAGCTAGACAGGCTGGCTAGGAAGCTCCAGGGATCCTCCCATCTCTGCCTCCCCAGCATGTGCCATCATACCCAGCTTTTTCAAAAGCTGGATTTGGAGGAGTCAAACTTATGCTGGTACAGCAAGCACTGTATCTACTGAGTCATCTTTCTAACCTCTAAAAGACAGCGTTGGTGTATTCTGCATAAGGGCATGGTCAATATGTCTCTGAACAAATTAAACAGGTTTTCTTTAGTGCCTAGCTCTGCTGTATTGAAATAGATATATATATGTATATATATAAAATTGAGAGCTAAGAGAAATGAATGTATAAGATGCTCTGCACAGAGCCTGGTGAAGAGCGTGTATCTACTGCTTGTTAATGGTAGTCATTGTTAAGGTGTTGGGACTGCTGCTAAGTAAGAGCCTGGATAAGTTTAGCACAGCAAATCTCCACAGGACGAAGAGGACAGCAATGGGGCAGCAGAGGGCTGAGAGGGGTCAGGGTCACAGCTTTGGCCAATTCTTAGACATGCCTGAGGCAAATAGGCTTTTCCACTCTAAGTCTGATCTTTCTGTAGTGGGTATTTTTCTCACTGTTTTGACATAAGGAAAGGAAGGTGTATTTTGGCTCACAGTTTGAGGATATCGACCACTGTCATGGGGAAGGTGTGGTGGCAGGGAGGTGAGGCATCTGGTCACATTGTAATCACAATCAGGAAGCAGTGAGAGATGGACCCTCGTCCTCAGCTCACTTTCTCCTTCCTATTCAGTCCAGGCCTCCGGCCAATGGAATGGTGCCTCCCACATGTAGGGTAGCTCTTTTTACCTCACCCCAACCCAGAAACTCCTTCACAGACTTGCCCAGAAGTTGGTCTCCTAGGCAAGTCTAGATCTTCCCAAGCCGACAATATTAATTGTCACACTCTGCTCAGGAGATGCTAACATAAATATGTGTCAATGGTTATAGGCTATCCCCCGTAACATTGCACTCATGGTGAGTATCCCAAGACTGTGCAGGGATTCTTGCTCTAATATGGTTCTTAAAGGGTCAACCAAGCTACCCCCAGGACTCTAAATCCAGCCTCAAGTGTTTACCTTCTTTGCCGATGCATTGACTCAAACTTCAAAGTAAGCTGAACAGCCCCCATTGTCAAGGGAATCTCAGAATCCCCAAATTTGTCCATGACTAAATTACTACTGAATTTTTTGTAATGCTTTTGGGGTCAGATTTTACCATCTGTGAAATGCACATATAATAAATCCCCACTTTGTCTTTTAGGCGTCTTTTATTCTTAACAAATTTTACTTTCTGTATTAGTCAAGGTTCTCTAGAGTAACAAATTATAAAATGAATCTCTCTACATATATAGAAAGGGGATTTACTAGAGTTACTAATTGAAAAACCATACAAAAACTGGCATGTAGGGAAGACCAGAGAATGGATCTGCATAGACAGGGGACAGAAGAGGGAAGGTATCCATTTAATATTATCATTAGTCCTGATCCATACCATACTTAGCAGTTTACAAATGTGTTTAACCTTCCTGGTCACAAATACAAATAAGGATCAACTGGGAATTTTGAAAGTGTCCAGTTCTTTAGGCCTCCCGCAAAGATTTTGATTCAGTGGGTATGGAGCAACAACTGAGAATCAGATTTTTATTTTTGTTTTGTTGTGTGCAGGATTGAACCCAGGGCATCTCGCATGCTAGGAAAGTGTGGTGGCTACTCTTAGTTGTCAACTTGACTACATCTGGAATGAACTAAGACCCCAAAATGGAGGGCACACCTGTGAAGTGTGTAAGTTTTGCTTAATTTGAAGTAGGAAGATCTACTTCTGATCTATGAAGTAGGAAAACACACCTTTAATCCAGATCTTGTGGTGGGAAGACCCACCTCTAATGTGGGCCATGCTCTCTGCTAGAAGCCTATATGAGGACATGGAAGAAGGAAGTTTTTATTCTTTGCCTGTTTGCTCTTGCCTTGCTGACAAGTCCTTCACTGGCATTAGAGTCTACTTAAGGATTCTAGCATCTACTGAAGACCAGCTGAGACCTCCAGCCTACTGGATGCTCCGACTTTTCATTGACAGTCAGCCATTGTTGACATAGCTGGACAGCAGCCTGGAAGTCATTCTTGTAAATCCCCTTTCTATATATGTAGAGAGATTCATTTTATAGTTGGTTCCTCTAGAGAACCCTGACGAATACAGAAAGTAACAGCCACCCAGGGAATCCCCCAGCCCTCTTTTCATTATCTTCTGATTCTATTGCTGGAATTGCTGGTCTTCACCCACTGCACCCCGCAGCAGAATGCTTGTCAAGGACCGTGAGGGACTCTAGTGTGTGGCTGACGCTAAGGGCTGCTGTCATAGGCAGTACTGGCCATGTAAAGAGGTGAGAAAAACAGCTCCACATCCGGTGGGTCTTAGCTGTGACCGTGAGCCGAGGCCAGCTTTGCATTCTGCAAGTACTTGGCAGCTGATGCCAGTGGGTTTCAGCCCATCACTGAGATTTAGGGGAAAGGAGCTCCTGGAAAGATGCGAAGAATCTCCGAACTGTGGACTGTAGGTCCCCTGCCTCCCGAATCTTCTTGTCCATTACTCTGGAAACACTGGTCAGGTAGCTTATGTCTCCCACTCTGTTTCCCTGGCCACCAAATGCCCAGGCTGGATTAGATACAGTAGGAGTTAATCTGTGATGCTGACTTTTCCTGACGGGGTACGAGAACCTGAAGTTACACTCATCTTCCCTGCACACTACATTTTGGACGCTGCTCTAGGAACCGGAGCCATAAGACCCAGCTCTGTCTCTCCGCTGCCAATGCCAGATGCCAGCCTGGGATGGGTGTACCTGGAGCCCCATCCTGGGTAACGCCTTCTCCTTATGTGATGTGCTGAAAGGCCACCCACTTCACTTGCAGCATCAACATCCGAGTGTCCCCTGGCTTCCTGGTGAGCACATGGCCTGGTCCTCACTGGTATCTGCACAGGAAGTGGTGGAATGCGGACGTTTACCCAATGTGAGTACTCAAGCATCTTCCCATGAACCTGTGGGGCCCAGCCAGCACTTGCTGAGGCACTGTGCTCTTCGCCCTCCTCCCTCATCAGTCTCTAGCTGTCTCCTGGATCTTGTTTCCCTGAGCAGAGCTTAAGGAAGTTCACCAAACAACAAAGTCAGTTTATTGTTTACATCCCATGTTGCAGGCTCTGTACTAGGAACACCACACTTGGTCTCTCTAGGCTCCCAGCCCGCCTCAGCCCACCCAAATCTCCACCAGGAGGAGATTTAACAAAGCCTGGTACAAATTGTCCCATCCAGGCTGTAAACTTTCAAAGAAAGTACCACATCCACCTTATGCTTAAGACAAATATGCACCAACGCATGCCGTGCTCAGTACTGTGAGGGAGAGGAAGCCTAGCTGGGCAGAGGGCAGGGCGAGGATACTTTAATCACGTGACACAAGAGAGAGCAAGGGGAAGTGGGGGTGTGGCTGGAGAAGAGCAGGATTCACTATAATCCTGTACTGTGTGTAGGCAGGGACTCCTAGACCCAACAGAGTACCTGACCTGTGAGTCTTGGATCCCTCTCTCACTTGTCCCGTCCTTCTGAAGTGGGAGCTGCTGTTCCGTTGCCTCAGCACGAGGGGAAAAAAGCATTGCTAGACCAGAAGAGGGTGGGGTTCAAACAGCACTTCTACCCATCCTGACTGCCAGCTGCCAAACCCAAGCTCCTGTATTCCCGGCCTTGACACAGACTCCGGGGACCCCTGATCATATTTTCAGAAAACTATCCTCTGTGGAACTGTGAAACTGCTCACTCTCATGCTCCACTCTGTCAGCACACGAAGAAACAGTGTGAGGCAATGAGCGAGGACGTGTGCTGGCAGAAGCAACTTCAGGCACTCATCGATTCAAATCAGGTGTCCTGTGCACGGCACCATGCCGGTCTACAACTTACAAATGGATCGTTCCTAGGAAGCCAAATGTCATACTGCCCCTCTTACTGCAGTGTGTGTGTGTGTGTGTGTGTGTGTGTGTGTGTGTGTGTGTGTGTGTGGAGGTCAGAGGACGATTTGGGGGAATTGGGTCTCTCCTTCCAGCATACAGGTCCTGGGAATCTCTCTCAAGTCTGTCGGGTCTGTAAGTAGGTGCTGTCACCCACTGAGGCCCCTCCTAACCCCTGACTGCTCTTAGTAATGCTCTACCGCCCTCTTCCCTCTCTTCCGCAAGCATGTCTCAGAGATGACGCTCTGTGCTCTCCGCATGCTCTCTCCATCAGTACCATCTTCAGGGCATTGGGGGTGGGAGAGCAGGACCCATCTATCTGTACATTTACACTCTGAACAATAAACCATGGCAAAGGCAGGTGACGTTAACCACAGTTAAGAAAACAGAGAACAGTGCCAGATGCCCCTCTCAAGAGTAAACTCGTTTTCATTTTGGTGAAGTAAAAAAATAATAAATAGATAATCTTGACTATTAGCTATACAAATCCACACTCCTGAGGTCACCTCATAGTTGAAAACCTTTGCTCTTAGGTTTGGGCCACTGGAGGGTAACCCAGCATAAGCTCTGTTCACACAGCCATGTGCTGTTGAGAGAGACTCACCTGCTTCAGCCAAGAGGTGCTTTTTTCTAATTCATTTTTCTTTGTTGCTGTTATTATGATATTTATTTATTTATTTATTTTATGTGGATGAGTGTTCTGTTTGCATGTATGTATATGCACCATGTGCATGCCTGGTGCCCTCAGGGGCCAGAAGAGAGTGTCAGATCCCCTGGAACTGGAATTACAGATGGTTATGAGCCACTGTGTGGATGCTGGGTCCTCTGGAAGAGCAGCCAGTGCTCTTAGCCACTGAGCTAACTCTCTAGCCCCTCTCTACTAATTCTTAAAAAAAAAGTCTGACAGATGGTCGATATCCTTGCTCAATTTTTGTTTTCTTTTTTTTATTTGAACATAATTTTCTTGCCAGTTTTGTTTTCATAAATACACCTCATTGTTTTGATTCTGGTTCCAACAGTCCAGCCTCCCCAAAGAGTCCTCATTGGGTGAGTACTTGAGAGCTAAGTATCATGTCCTGCCCATGTCTCAGAGCTGACCAGAGTCACCTGACCAGGCAAGTTAGCCGCATAGAAAACAAAGACCTGAGGCCTTGGCCTAGCTCTGGCCTGGGGTCCTAAAATGTCTCCTTTGGACATTTGGAAGATTCCAGTTCACTCTTTCCACAGTGGAACAACAGACCCTTGAGTACAGTACACGGCCACAAGTGTCCTGGTATACTGTTGCTCGCCCCCACATTCTGTTTTGTTTTGTTTTGTTTTGTTTTTTTGCTGAGGACTGTAGCACTTCCCCTCAGGTAGCCTGTCCATCTTAGGAGGTGATCCTGTTTTCCAGTCATCAGGAACATGGAGAAATGAGGTGGAGTTGACTGTCCCCATCATACACCTCAGAGCCTCAAGCCTCGGTCTTTGTCTCGGGCTTCTTCATTGACTTCACAAACTCCTTGACTTCTTCTTCCAAGACCTTGTTCCTCCTCTCCACGTCCTCCCTGGAGCGCTCCACATTTCGAAGGCTGATCTCCAGGGCTGCGAACTTCTTCCTCTCCCCCTCCAGCTCCTCACTGAGCCTGACCACCTTAGCCCAGACGTCGTAGTTTTCCTTCTCCAGGCTGCAAGGAAGAACACCAAAGGAACGCCTGAGTATTAATTCTAAACCCTTCCTTCTTAGCCCTTCACCCACGTTCACAACCTCTTGCTCATTTGCCTTTCTGAGACACAAGATACCAATTGGTGAAATGCCAATCCAGCCACTGTATGTATGTATGTCCTGCCTTCCAGGAGAAGACTTCACAGAAAACCTGACTTCCCAAGGCACTTCAGGGTCTCACTTAACACCCTGGTGACATCTTCCCCAAGCAGCCTGCCTGTGCTCATCTGCAGACATAAGTTGTCATCTGAGCCGAGGTGTCTCAGAGACTGCTGTACTCAGAAGAAGCAGACATCTCTATGGTTGTTGGTCCTTCTGCTCTTCAGTGGCATTTGGGCTAGGACACAATGAGAGCCTTTTCTAGGACTGATTTGCTCCCTGAAAAAGTATCACAGAAGTCTTATGATTCTACAAATGGTTGATTTCAGGATATCAGACAGAGGACATATGTTTTGCTTGAGGGCCATCTCTCTGTATGGAACAATGGATGGAGACTCACGACAGTCTTTCTTTCTGGTACCTAAATCTTAGTAGAAGAAGTATCCGTAAATGTGAAAGCCCGTTATTCTCATTATGACAAGTGTTCTTGTGGGTCAAGTTGGACTAAAGTTACCTCTTTGAAAAAGAATTTGCCGCCGGGCGGTGGTGGCGCACGCCTTTAATCCCAGCACTCGGGAGGCAGAGGCAGGCGGATCTCTGTGAGTTCGAGGCCAGCCTGGTCTCCAAAAGCGAGTACCAGGAAAGGCGCAAAGCTACACAGAGAAACCCTGTCTCGAAAAAACCAAAAAAAAAAAAAAAAAGAATTTGCCAAGGGAGAAGAATGAGGAGAGAATCACATTGACCAGCATGGCATGACAGCCCTAAGGGTGTAGTAGTGGCACACACATGACCAGCGTGGCATGACAGCCCTAAGGGTATAGGAGTGGCACACTTATGACCAGCATGACATGACAGCCCTAAGGGTGTAGGAGTGGCACACACATACATGACCAGCGTGGCATGACAACCCTAAGTGTGTAGTAGTGATACACACATGACCAGTGTGGCATGACAAGCGTAAGGGTATAGTAGTGGCACACACATGACCAGTGTGGCATGACAACCCTAAGTGTGTAGTAGTGGCACACACATGACCAGTGTGACATGACAAGGCTAAGTGTGTAGTAGTGGCACACACATGACCAGCATGACATGACAACCCTAAGTGTGTAGTAGTGGCACACACATGACCAGTGCGGCATGACAACCCTAAATGTGTAGTAGTGGCACACACATGACCAGTGTGACATGACAACCCTAAATGTGTAGTAGTGGCACACACATGACCAGCGTGGCATGACAACCCTAAATGTGTAGTAGTGGCACACACATGACCAGTGTGGCTTAAAAACCCTAAGGGTGTAGTAGTGATACACATACTTTGGCAGTAGCCAGCAGCTAACAAGCCTTAAGACCTGTTCAACAAGAAGGAAACTATGCCAGGTACAGAAACATAGTTAACTACTCAGGACTAGTGACGTTGTGGATCCTGGAGGAGAACCTACTAAACCAGCATAACCCCTAACGATAATCTAATTTGTCCTTATACCTCCAGGCAAGGAAACTTCTCTCTTTGGACACACAAAGACCACTACAGAAAACCACAACCAATCAAAATGCAGAGTTGTGGATTCTGCTCCCAATGGATACATCTACAAAACACTGCCACACCTAAGGGTCAGCAAACACTGGGGAAGAGGGGGTGGACAGATTGGAAGAGCCAGAGGATCAGGGAGTCTGCTGAGAGATTGTGTCTCCACCCACTCAGAAACTCAATCCAGAAAGCCTCACCAGCATCACTGCCCAAACATAGGCAAGCCAAAGTGAATGGAGGAAAGCCCACAGACTTCAACCCTGCACAAAGAACAACAGGCAACCAAAAATGCTGAGAGCAGAGAAATGGTCTTCCCCAGGGAAGAGCACACCAACTGTTACCCCACACCAGAGGGTCAGCCCTGAAAACATACATTAATATAAAGCATCAAGAAAGTTTCCCTCAACTCAGATAAGCAGATTCACCCTGAACACTCGGGTTTCATTTTTCAAGTTTCCGCAGATCTATTCATCAGGGTAGGATTTTCCCATCTAATCTCTCTTCGTTTGTCCTTTCCTTTATTAAGTTTGGTTGCTACAGAGTGCTCTGTCCCCTGAAATATGTTATGCTGTGACATTTTAGAAGGAATATTGGAAACAATATATACTTCCTTCTAAACACAGAAGCCAAGTGCACTCAGTGGCCCTCTGCACAGGACTTACTTTTTAATCTGTTCCTCATACATGTGCTTCTGGGTTTCGATTTCCTTTTGCAGGTGCTGGACCATCCTCTGTAAAGAGTCAAGGTCATCCTCTCCAGAGTTCTTGCTTCCAGACCCCATTTCAGAGTCTGTGCTGACAAGAGCATCTCTCTTGGAGTCACAGGCAGGAGGAGAAAGTGTACCTGCTGGGTTCCCTGGGGACCCTAGTGGGGCAGGGACATTATCGTAGGTAGAAGTCCGCTGGTCATTGGAAAGGTGGCGCAGGTCTTGAGACATAGTTCTCCTGTGCCCTTCCCCTGTCTTCACCTCTGTAGATGGAGACCAGAACTCATTTTTAAAGATTTCCAGTTTGCTGCTAGTGGTGCCTTGGAATGCTGACGTCAGGAAACACTTGCGGTTGGGGAGCGTTTGAGTCCTTTTGCGGGATTGCACCTTCCAGTCTCCTGGGTTTTCCCTGGGGGTGTTCTCATTGTCCTCCTGCTGCTGCTCACCTGACTGTGGTCCAGTGGGGCTGGTGGCATCAGGACTACCTGCCTGGAAGAAATAGCCATGGATATTATATAAGGTTTTTTTCCTTTATGTGTGCCATGCCCTCAAGATTCGGGTTAGAGACCTGGGAGGAAGCTTTTCCTAGTCACACACCTGTGATACCCTTAGTGGATCACCTCGTTGATAATTTACAAGAGGATATGACAACTAAGGGACTCGATCAAACTCTAGAGAGGAAGCGTGAACTAAAATCACTTGCTCGATTGGTGTGAAATCCTAAGCGATCCTTTCATGACCTTAGGAGGTTTTGTGACTCAAATCCCAAGACGCATACGTGAAGTTCAATAAGCTCCATTGAGTCCATTTCCTCGACCTCCAGAATGAAGAACAGCAAAGCAAGCATGCCGCCATCCACTAGGTGAAAGGCCAAACAGCACTCTGGGAACAGCTTTATGAAGCATGTCCCAGACAGTGAAGGGCTCCTGCTGGCGACTCCCTGTGGTGCTGAGCTTACATACACTGAAAAGGAAAACATCAGTGACCAAGAAGAAATGGGCAAAGAATTTCAAGAACAGATAGTTTGTGCTGGAGGGATACCTCAGTGGTTAGGAGCACTTACTCTTATAGAGGACTGAGGCTCAGTTTCTAGCACCCACAGAGTAGCTCACAACCACCTATAGCTCCAGTTCCCAGGGATCTGATGCCCCCTTCTGGTCTCTGCAGGCTACTGCATACATGCAGTGCACATATACTCAAGCAGGCTCACATACATACATAAATATTTAACGAACAAAAAACCAAGTAGCTCACAGAGGAAAAGTGAACTGACTCTAACACTTTTAAAAAGATAGTTAGCCTCTTCTCATAACCAATGGGAGAGGCTCAAATTAAAGTTACTAAATTATCAGTTCTTTCACGGGGTGGGGACACCCCTAATCCCGACAACATGCTCCATGAACCATAGGCCTGTTCATGCATTGCTGTGAAAGAATAAAATGGCACAGATGCCAATAACATTTATGAAAATCACATATTTAAATCTATTTACCTTCTCACCCACTAGTCCCATTGTTGAGAATTTCATCCCAGAATTGTATCTGCCTAAATACAAATTGAGGTGTGGGCAGGATGATTCACAGCAGCCCTGTTTGTGCTGCAAAACTGACCAGTTCATCCAGGTCTGGAGAGGGGATCACAGGTAGTCAATGAATTGCCAAAAATGAGGTCATGTGGGTAGGTATTTATGCCCTGATATGCACTATAGTCTCCGGGATAATACTGGTAAGTTTTAAAATGTGAGAAACAAAATAGAGAAAAATAAAGTTTTTGTGTAAAAGGAGAGATAAGAAAACAGTTTCTATTTACATCGTCTTATATTTGCATAAAGGAACAGCTGAAGGGTGAGGAAAAGCTAATCCAGCAGGAAAGGGAGGGTGTGAGAAGGGAAGCGTGGTGGTCAACACTGTCAACTTGCCAGAATCTAGAATCACTACAGAGACGATCCTCTGAGCATGCCTGTGAGTGAATTAGCGGAAGTGGGAGGACCCACCTTGACTGTGGGCAGAACCATCACAGGGGCTTGTGCCCTGGACTGAAGGAAATGAAGAATGGGAACTAGGCACCCGAGTTCATCTCCCTGCTCCCTGACTGTGGATATGGTGTGACCAGCTGCCCCAAGCCCTCGCTGCCATGGCTGCTCTGCTTTTGTGGATTGTCACCCCCCCACCCCCCCACCCCCCCCACTCCCCCCACTCCCCACCCCCGTCTACAAGCCAGAATGAACCTCTACTTTCCTAAGAAGCTTCTGTCAGGGATTTTCTCACAGCAACAGTGTAAGAATTGACACAGGCATGGAGCAGGACTTCTCAACTGGTAACTTATTATGTTGTGGTTTTTTTTTTTAACCATATGGTTGTATATAAAATCAAATTGAAAAGAAAAAGAGAAAAAAGTGAGTCCCACATAAGATGGGAAAGTCAGGGGCTGAGGTACCTCCTAGCCAATCCCCTGCTTCGGTGGAGCATGTGGTCTTGCAGGACTAAGACCTCAGACATGACATCCTGCTCTAGAGCATGCTAGCGTTACTGCCTGGATCAGCCTCCTGCCTCAGATCTTCAACCAAAAGAAGCGTGCGTGATGAACTGGCCCCAGTGTTGTGTGGACTCCGGAGCTGACAAAAACCCAACCCAACCCAAACCGAACAAACGAAGAACTTCAACCACAACCATTTGTTGCGTTTTGTTTTTTCTCTGATCTTTAACAGCACCATAGGTAGCTTTCTCCGTCAACTAGAAATTTAATTTTTTTTTAACTTGGCCACATATAAAAAAAAAAAACCCAAGCTGCTATAAAAAGTCTCCATATCCTTTTTAAAACCATCTGTTCCTATAAATACATGAAAATATTTGACCTTTGTCAGCTTTCACCCTCTAATAGTCTATATCTTGGACACTCCAGAGTCCAGCAACACTGAGAACGTGAGCTCTGAGCCTTCTGTCCAAGCGAGGGGCTGACGCTGCAGAGCAGCATATCAGGGCATGAGGAGGACTCCACGAACACATCCCCTGCTCTGAGGAAAGAGTCACGTTCAGAATCACCCGGACACCCGCCCACGCCCCCCCCCCACCTCCCCTCAGAGTCTTCAGCAGCTCTCACATATTTATTTGTTTCTGTTGAACCTCCCTGGGATTTTGTCTTGGAGAAGATGTCAGAAAAGGTCCCAAGACCCAGTCTGCAGGCAATTCTCACACATGTCACTAGCTCCAGGTTTTCCCGGTGTGTTCTGATGGATCTGTGCCAGCTCTACCCACGGCCCCAGCATCACCCATCACTCCTCAAACTGCTGTCTTAAAATTACCAGACTAAAGGAAGAGTCAGGGGGAGGGGGTGGGCAGCAGGCATCTTACTGTGTTATTGAAGCTGTCTGTCCTGGAGAGTGGTGGGTCTTCTGTGGCATCCCATCCCACAGAGCTCCGGGGCACTGGAGCCTTCTTGGCGTCGTTCTTCTGGGCAGGGGGTGACAGTGGTGCATCCTTAGACTTGGGAAAGAGGACTTCGTGGTCTCTGATCATCATGGTCATCACTCTTTGGATCTGAGGAGTCCCTGAAGGAAGTAAGAGATCTGTAGTGCTGGTCCATGGAACAGAAGCCTGGAAGCACTCAAGGGTTGCCCACCCTCCAAGAGGATGTTTCCATGTTGGCCCCAAAACTACAGGCTCATTTGCACTTCATGGGGGCCCTTCTTAATTATTTGGAGTCGAATATTTCGGGTGAGAGGATGTACTAAAATAAAGATATATGGGGTGTGTGTGAATAGGAGCTGATGAGGACATTTTCCACCTATACTGCCCTGAATCAGCTTTTATCAGGCAGTAGGTAATAGTAACAGTCAAGAAAACAGACATCTTTCTCTCCTGCTGTGGTCTTCCATGTGATGTCTGTCTTCTCATTGCACCCCAAGCAAACGGGTGTCAGGAACACTTCCTTGTCACATGCATGGCAAACATGAGTCCTTTGGGTCAAGACTTTTGCTTATCAAGCCAAGACACAACCTCACAAAGCTTTTCAGCTTAGCTCTCTACAGCAGCCTCTTTGTGAATCAGCTTGTAAAACAAGACCCTGCTTGTCTTCTTGGCTATGGGTGTTTTAAAGTCATACAAAAGACTTGGAAACACTAGTTAATTGGTTTGAGGTCAGACTACTGTGCTCTGTGACCATTGGGCAGGGGGCATAATTCCTGCACTGCTCAGGAGGCTGTTAATACCAACCAGTCAGAAGACACCGCAAGTGGACCAGCTCGGTAAGCTGCAAAGCAGGACACAGACACTAGGGGCAGTGTTCTCGCTGTCACATCCTGGGCTCCTCTATTGCAGGATCAACTCATGTACCTTTCATGATCACAGCTGGGTCTTCAACCTTCGACCTGATGAGGTTCACTCCAATCACAGTGGCCAGGTTGTCCACACTCATCTTGTTGACGGCACAGTTCAGCTGGATTTCATGCAGAAATCTGGGGACAGCCAAGAAACCCCACCATAGACGGTAGGAAGTGGCCAGGAGAGAGAGTACTCCCCGGACCCAACAGTACACTTGTTGAATTCTAGCTCTTTCCCCTGTTTCAGGAATGGAGTGAACTGGCTCTGCTTGCAAGAGTTTAACTTGAATCTGGAAGTTTACAGACCAAGGAGGGATGAGGAGCCATGGACTGTTCAGTTGTTGGGGGAGGGGCAGGTGGGAGGTGGAGTCTCATAGCAGGGTTGTTTGGAATAAGAGGTGACTAGAAGGACTCAGAACGGTGTCCAACAGCTTCAGTGTTTTGCCTTTACCATTTACTTCTCAGTACCCACGCCATTCATGTCTCCAGAGAGGAAAAAATGTATCGGTGAGGAGGACTTAGAGATGGCAGGAGAATCCATGGTGCCTCCTCTCTCTCATCCTCTGATTGGAGAATGGAGCATCTCTCGCTCTTAGCAGATGCTCAGGATCTAACAAGGAAGTCCCACTAGACTTCCAACCATTAGAAGCCTGAAACCCTCAGATTTGTTGGAAAAACAAAAATGACTGAACAGATCAGTAAAGCAATTTTGGATATCTTAAAAACAACAAACAAAAAACATTTAAAAGTGGGTAGCCTGAAATACCATAAAACTCCAAATTTGAGAAAAAATTATGTGTTCACATGATGAAAAGTGACATATTATGGGATAATTTATTTTATGATAAAGGACATGCTTTTCAGTTGGTTATAAAAGCATCCCCCTGTAGTTACACTGATGTAAGAAAAGACTCATCAGAGAGAAAACACTCAGGAGGAGACAGCACTGGATGGGGAGGGTTACATCTAGTTTTGGTTCTTATGTACAGTTCTTGTATCTTTGTGGTTTCCAGATTAAGTTCAAATCATCTTTATAATTTGGAAATTACATCACAATATTTTTTTTTACATCACAGTATTTTTGAAAAATAAAAGACAACATGGAGGTATGTATGGGGTGAAGATTCCCAGCACAGCAGATCTGAGCTGGTCCATCTGCAAGGTGTTGCCACAAGGACCTCACACAGTAGGTCCTCAGAAAGGGCTGCAAGAAAATATAAATGGTGGCCTAGAATGAATTTTTCCAGGGTGTTAGTTTTGGGAACAACAGGGATTTCAGGTTCTCTTGCAGGCCCTGGGACAGGTCTGAAGGAAGGAATAGGTTCATTCTGTGTGCAAGTTCTTAGGGACCCCTGACATTCTCATGCGAACAGAACACCCTCTCGGTGCTCCGTGAAAGGAGCTGACCTTCTATGGTTCTGGACCAGAATCTGTGATCTTAGAGAAACTGCCTCCTCTTCTAAGCAGGGCTTCTTTCTGATGGCTGGAAACTGTGGCTCCACACCAGGAGACTCACCTGCAGATGTAGCTCAGGAGGCTGTAGTTGTCCCGAGGAAGGACGGACAGCTGCTTCACCAGTTCCTGCTGAGCCTGGGAAGAGAGTTTTGACAGGAGTAAGCTAGCCCGCTGCCTGTTTGTCGGCAGCGAATGTAAGGACGTGACTGGTACGTCTGTGGAGGACAAACACTTTGGTTGTTGCTCCTGTTCCCACAGGTCTCCGAGTTAAAATATTTTGAAATTAAAATTCTGAGAATTCATAAAATGTGAATTGAAGCCCAGACTGCTCTTGAATTCCCTATGTAGTCAATGGTGACCTTGAACTTCTGATCCTCCTGCCTCCAGGAGTGCTGAGATTAAACGTGTGTGCTGCCATACCCAGTCTGTGCCAGGGCTCCCTACACAGACTAGTCAAGCGCTCTACCAACTGAGCTCCATTCCCAGCTGCCATACTTTTTTTTTCTACTATGTATTTAAAAAGTCTGTTTGAAATAATGTTGCCTACCCGCTCCTGACATTGAACGGACTACCTGATAACTCACACTGATGATGGTTTGCTGAATGAATGAGGTGTAATTGTCCAATAAACAATCAAACCACAATCTAATATTTCAGAATGACCTTAAAAATGATGAGAAAAGGGTTCTTCTGTGGCGGCTTCAAAGCCCCGTGGTCTTGCTGAGAAATTCTGGGACATAGGCCAGACTGGCCACACCGGAAGGCATGTATTGGGATGGGCAGCTCAAGTTCTACAACAGCTATAGATGTCAGATGTGGCCATTCATAAATCACATGCGCCAGGGAGAGGAAGGACAGGGCTCGCTGCCTTTGCCAGTCCAGCTGTCTGAAGAGCCTGTGATCACCCTCTGATGATGTGTGGGGTGGCATCTAACATGACTCTTCTTAGGAGTTTTTCAAGCTTTACTCCATATCGTTCACAAAGGAGTTCTGAAATGCCCCTGTACATCAAGGGTTTTCATATCTCCTCTCTCCCCTACAACACCCACAACTCAGGTAGACCATGCAGCCTCGATTTTTTCTTGGCAAACAGCTGCATGTTGGCTGCATCAGCACAGTTCTCTTCCTACCCCAGCTTTGAAATGTGACATCCTCCTCTGAGCCAGGGTCTTCATAACTATGGCTCCCTATGAGGAGTCCACCCAGGGAGATCTGAGAGCTGTTTTCTCCCTGGCCGGGATGTCCTGGGACTCTGACCACATTACAAATACTGAAGAACAGAGAACCCCAAAAATCTTCAAGTTACTAATTAGTTTCATGTACGTGCCTTGGTCCTCCAAACAATTCCAGGCAAAGTGGACAAGGCATTGTCTAAGTTTGCGCTGCTCGACATGTGTGCTAATTGCCAAAGGTAGCTACTCAATTTAAATAAAATTAAGAATTTGGCTCCTCTGGTATACTAGCCATATTTCGTGGACATTATATCACATGTGGCTAGAAGTTAGCACCTGGGATGGTGATAAGATTATATCACCACAGAAATCCTATTGGTTTGAGTAAGTATACTGAGTCTCATAGAATATGCATGAGGAGGTTATTCTTCGTTACCAACCCAACTGGATTTAGAATGACCAGTGGAGGCAGACTTATGGGTACATCTGCAAGAGTGTGTCCAGAGAGGTTTAACGGAGGTGGGAGGTGGGAGGTGGGAGGTGGGAGGTGGGAGGTGGGAGGTGGGAGGGCCCACCCTGACTGTGAGCAACAGCATCCCACAGTCTGGAGTTTTTGTAAAAGGAGGAAGGCAAGCTGAGCATGGGCGCTCATCTGTCTGCTTCCTGACTGTGGCTGCAGTGTGCGCCGCCGCCTCTGCCTCTGCTGCCACACCCGCTCCACCACCGTACAGTGTGTCTTGAAACTGAGCCCACATAAAGCCTGCCTTCCTCACGCTGCTTTTGTCTGGTATTTTACCACAACAATGAGGTAGTAACTAATACCGTGCACAGTTTGTCAAATGACAGAGTGAAGGTCAAATCCAGGTCTTTGGCATTGTTTTGCCAGTGGGACTGGCATCATTGGCCTGGCACTGCCGTTGAAGTTCCAGTCTCCTACCAAGGGGTATGGCCCCCATGCCTCACTCTCACCTGCCGGAACCTGTTCGGAAAATGAAATGCTTTCTTCTAAGTAGGACGGTCAGCTGGAGACACCAACCTTTGCCTCATCCGCGTTCATGAGCTGCCCGCAGAGCAGGAACCCTTCATACTGGCTCCAGGGAACCACGGGCTCTGGGAGGTCTCGGAGGTAGAGCTTCAGTAGAGAGGCAACGGTGTGCACATCTGTGTCCCTGAAAGAAAACAAGCTGTGCTTAGGGAGCAGAACCCAGGGTCTCTCACTGACCCTGACGGGCTACCGGGTCAAAGCATGGACTACAAAGGGATGTGTTACAAAGGGCCAGAGTCTGGTAAAGTCCCAGACCCAGACACTGGCTTCCAGAACAACTCCAGCCACTGCCTCTGCTTCCACAGCTGCCTCAAAGGTAACAGTAAGGTTCACGTTTTCGTGAAATGCTCTTTAACTATTTTGAACTTTCTTCTGCTTTCTTATTTCTTCAGACCACTTAGTACCTCACAGTAGCAATGTCTAATTAGTCTCTCATTTTTTGTGTGAACTCGTTTATATCCTTGGTCCATTGTTCTCATCTATTCCCAGAATGTTCAAAGAAGTTCTGAGGTCCAGTCATATATCTCATCAACAGTTCATTTGATCATAACCAATGAGGAAACTTGCTTTCATCCTGGTTTCTTTTTTCCATTCTTTTCCTGATTTCAGTAGCAAGTCTGAGGGAATACCTAGTTCCATCAATGCTTGGAACACACAAATGTTACTAAACACTGTGGTGGGTGCTGGGATGTGAGAAGCCCAGGACTCAGTAGGTCACAAGTCTAGAAAGGGACAGCTTGAGAGACAGAGGTGACTCTTCAGATGAAATCGTGAGGTGGGGGAGATCTGAAAACCACAGGTGTGTCAGCCTGGAGTGGGAACAGCAGCCCCCTCCCCCACTGAGGGTCTGTGACATTTAGCTTCTGATGTTTATAGCAAATGTTGCCTCAACACAGGAGGCAGATCTGGCCTGGAACCTTCATTTTTGTAGCCTGCTGGCTGAAAATGACTATTTCTTTTTTAAGTGTTTGGAGAAAAAAAAAGCCAAAAGCCGTCTATCTCATGACATGTGAAAATCATATGCACTTGGAGTATCAATAAAATAAGTTAGAGGAACACAGCCCCACTTGTTCATTTACAAACTGTCATTGCTTCTTTACTGTGAGAGAATACAGATGTGACAAAGCCCCGAAGAGCCTACGAATGTAACCTGTGGCCCAGCCTGGGAAGTCTGCTGGCCCCTGAACTGCAGTGGTTGCGTTTATTCTGCTAAAAGAGAAACTAACTCTGCATCTACCACATAACAGTGAGTCACTCAATGAGGGGTGTGTTCTGAGAAGTGCGCCATTAGGGAATTAGTCACTGCATGAACGTCCTGAAGTGATGTTCACAAGCCCCGGCGGGAAGAGCTGCTCTAGTCCTAAGCTACGTGGGAAATGCTGTTGCGGTCTGTCATTGAGGCTTTTGAGGCAATGCAAACAAGAATACCGAGTGTGAGTGTGAGTGTGTGTGTGTGTGTGTGTGTGTGTGTGTGTGTGTGACAGAGAGAGAGAGAGAGAGAGAGAGAGAGAGAGAGAGAGAGAGAGAGAGTGTTTCTTTTGTTTGCGTTTCTGTTCTTAGTTGCCAATTTCTTGCTTTGGCCTCTGTGCCACCCCCAACACCACACCCCGTTCCCACTCCCTAATCCATTATCCCCACCCCTGCCTCTGAAGCCTGTGAACTTGTTGCCTCTGAAGGAGAGCTCAAACTGCAAAGGATACCATCTGCACTCCAAGGCAGGAAATTGGGGCCAGGGATGTTCCCTGAACACGGATATTCAAAAACATCCTACCCTACTGAGTCACGGTCTAAAAAGAAAAACGTGGCTAGAGAAAGCATTTTTGGTGAAAACGTGATGAGAGGTGGCAGGAGAACCGGGGCCTGGCAATCTGCAGAAGAATTCTCCGAAGTGCTCCTGTGTCACGGTCCACCCTGTGTCTGTTTGTGGCCTCTACCACATACACAACGAAGCTCCTGTGTCCCAACCATCATCTCAAGCAATCCCTAATCCATTATCCCCACCCCTGCCTCTGAAGCCTGTGAACTTGTTGCCTCTGAAGGAGAGCCCCTCTCCTTCCACTCTGGACTTCAGATAGCCACAGCCTTCCCCAGGCTATCCACCAACGGCATGGCCCCAACATACAAAACACACCCACAGAATGAATGGAGAGGAAAATAATGTCAGTGAGGAAAATAGCATCAGTGATACAAGGGGAAACAGACCCTTAAGGAGAAACCGCAGCTTAGAAAAGGCAATTTTATCACAAGAAACAAGGATGGCAAAGATACCCAAAGTTAGAAATAGAATGGGAGGGCAGTGGTGGTGCACGCCTTTAATCCCAGCACTTGGGAGGCAGAGGCAGGTGGATCTCTGTGAGTTCAAGGCCAGCCTGGTCTACAGAGTGAGTTCCAGGACAGCCAGAGGTGTACAGAGGAACTCTGTCTCAGAAAACAAAACAAAACAAAACAAAAACAAAAGGGAGGAAGAAATAGAAAGCTGTTATAGCCATAGACACAATGGGATTATACGGCATTATATTATATTCTTAGAAACCTCCAGAAAGCCCAGTTAATCTTGAGAAGGATGAGGCTGGCAATGCCTGAGGTTAGCCTGGGCAACTTCTCATTTTGGTTCATCGGCTCTCATCATTTTCTCAAGGACTTCTCGAGTTCCACCAGACCCACCCGGCTCCCTTTCTCTAAATCCGGTTATCTCTACTCATCATTTTTAGCATTAACACAATGGAACTTGTTCTGGTTCCTGTGTATTAGGGGCACAATGTCACCCCACTGTGTTAGTGCTGATTTGGGGGTCACCCTATGGTCTAAGTCTCCAGGATCATTTCTCTTGAGTTCATGTCCCTCCAAACCAAAGGGTCAACCTTAAATGTCTTCGTCAGTTCTGAGTTCTGACCCGTCTCAGGTGGCCCTGCCAGGTGGCCTTGGAGCCCTCATATGTACCATGCAGCACACCTGTCCATTCTCACAGAGAGGCACAGGGATGGGAAGGACATCACACTGTGACCAGGAGGCATCCAGCCCAGTAAAAACGGACAAGGAGATTTTTAAAAATGTTTTTGCATGTGCATGTGTGTGATGTGTGTATTTATACAGGTTTGCATGTGTGTGGGTACACATACATGTAAGTGCATGTTCCTGTGGAGGACAGATGTTGACATGGGTGCCTTCCTTCATTTCTCCCCACCTTATGCAGTGAGGCAGGGTCCTTCACTTGAACACAAAAGCTCGAAGATTTGGGCAATCTAGCTATCTGGATAGCTCAGGGGGCCTCCTGTCCTGACCTCTGGAGGACTGGGATTGTAGACAAGCCACCATGTCCCTGCCATTCATTACTGGGGATCTGAACTCCCACCCTCATTTTTTTGTGTGTGTGTGGGAAGCTCCTTAGCCACTGAGCCACCTGCCCTCGCCGTACAAGAAGGCATTTTATTTTTTTTTTGCTTTTCTCCATTTGGTGAGAACCATGTACACCTGTGTTAGAATCTCACCAAGCAAGGGACCCATGTGACATTTATTCAGGTGAAAAAACAGCAGATCATCTGACAGAACCAAGTGTGTGGCCTTGGGGAAGATCTAGGGGCTGCCCATTGGCCCTATGTGAGAGATGCCAGGAAGGGCTTCCTTGACCTTCCAGCTCCCATAACTCACTGATTGATAAACACTATGTTCAGGGTTCAGAAAAGCTGTAACCATAGGAGAGGTGTAGCTTACTCCTGTGGCAAAAGCCTGCAAGGTGCTAAGCCATGGTCACCTGTAGTTACTGGGACACACTCTTAGCCTTGGCCCTAACCATGTTGGAAGTTAGCTAAATGACAAGAATAAAAGAAGCCTGCATTCTTTTCCAAATAAAGGTTGTCCACTCAAGGGGCATATGGACCCAAGAGCTCTCTCTCTCTCTCTCTCTCTCTCTCTCTCTCTCTCTCTCTCTCTCTCTCTCTCTCTGTCTCTCTCTCTCTCTGTCTCTCTCTCTGCATGTGTGTGATTGTGTGTATGTATATGTTGATTGTGTATATGTGTATGAGGGAGCAGCTGTCCTCCTCCTTCTAAGCTCCCGAATTTCATGGGAACCATAGACTGCAGTACCACCCCCACTCCCCCACCGACCTGGCAGAATTCAAACTGGCATCCAAGGCAGTTATTTAGCGAATCCCACTATAGCCTCTGTCCTTAAGCAATAACCCACCTATATCTTTTGATCAACTCAAACATAATTTAAACATGAAGAAGAAAATTAAATACAACAGTGAATAGGCACCTGCTCATGAACTCTAACCGATTGTGCCGTTAAAAGGCCCATAACTTGCTATAGTTCCAATGATAACTATACTGCTGCTTGCTAAACTACACAGGCAAATTGGCCTATGGCATACTAAGGGTGGAAGAGATAGCCGTATGGCAGGCCAAACTAAGACCTTGGCAGAGTGGGCATGGAGAGAAACCGATGGGCCTCAGAGATGTTTCAGAAGAAAAACGGCTGCATTGGTGGACAGAATGGAGCTGCAGGGGAAGAGTGAGGCGACTCCTGCATAAGAGTGACTCAGGCCTTCGTCATTTCCCCTCTGTTCTGAATAACTCTAGGGGATTTCAACATTTGTAAAGTGGGTAGTGCTCAGGCCCATTGTACCAAATCTTGTTTGCTGAGCTGCTAACTAGGTAAGAGTGCTTGATCTTAAGCCAGCAGGACAAGTGCGTGCAGGCAATCAGGTACTGCACAGTAAACAGAGCGTGCTGTGTGTGGTGGGGCTGTACCAGCTAAACATGCAGTGTGTATTGGGGCTGTATCAGCTAAGCATGCAGTGTGTGATGGGACTGGACCAGCTGAGCATAGTAGAGAAGGACATCCTTTCTGGGTGCCTGGAGGGTGAGAGGAACTGACTGTAGAAGTTGTCACCACACCAGATATTCCCCCAAATAGGGCTGGAAACCTTTGACGAGGATAAGAGTGAATGCCAGGCTGCCATGGTGGTGTGTACTCCAGTCACACAGCTCAGAGCTGAGTTTAGAATCACATAGTACTGTGGATTTGAAGACTTAGGAGAATTACTAGTTCTAGCCACTCCTGGAATGCTGGAGAAGACTACTGGTGCCTGTGCACAGACGTGGTGGTCCTCCCTCACATGTTTATGTAGATAGCTCTGCTCCTGATGTTTCTCATCTGCATGAGGGTGCTGAGAGTGTTCCTAGGCTAAGCCTCAGTTTCCCCCCATGCTCTGCATCTCCCCTTCCCTCATGTCCTAATCATCACCTGAATCTGCCCAGAACATACTGTGTCCTGTGAATCGTTTGCACACTCTGCTAACTGTGCCCAGGTCCCAAAATTCGGAGTGATGAACAGAACAAACTCTTCTTCCTGTTGTGATCTGGGGCTTTTGAAGTCCTGCAAGAGTTCCTGGTTCCAAGAGGTCCTCTCTCCAGTCATCTGGGCAGGGCAGAGGCGGACGGGGCAGTGCAGGGTAAGGACAGCATACCTGTCAAAAGAAGGCCGTTCCCCTGCATCAAATGCATCTCTCAGCTGCTTCACTAAGTTGTCCTGCCCAGGCAGGCGGAAGATGCCCTCTTCATTCACACCGTGCTCCAGGATGAACTCTGCACACTTCTCCACCAGGATGGGCACCAGGTGAGGACCAAACTTCTGCTCGTAGGCCACAGTCTCATCCAGGCGCTGGCCAAACACCGCTGGGAAGAAATGGGGGACCCCTTAGTTATTCTGACCTTCTCTGAGTTGATGGGTAGTCAGGGGCTTTGCACATTTCTTCTCTTTTTAAAATTAGTTATTGCTATTATTATTATTATTATTTTACATGTATGGGTGTTTTGCCTGCATGTATGTCTGTGCACCACATGCATGAGTGCCCTTGGAGGCCAGATGAGAGCATCGGATCCCCCCAGGATCCAAGTTACAGATGGTTGTAAGCTGCCATGTTGGTGGCTAGCTCCTCTGGAAGAGTATTCAGTGTTCTCAACCGCTAAGGCCTCTCTCCAGCCCCTTTTTTTTCTTTAAAAATAATATTTATTTTTAGTTTAACATTTGAGAGTTTCATACATGAATACCGTATTGACATCATTTGTACCCCTCACTCTTCCACCTCCAGCTCTTTCCATGTGCCCTGCTGCTCCCTCAAATTCATGTGCCCTTCTGCTTTGATTATTGTTTTATATACACATACACAAGTAAACATACATGTGCAAACACACACACACACACACACACACACACACACACACACACACACACTCCCCGCTGGCTAAATCCATTTAGTGTTGCTGTATGTGCTTGTTTAGAGCAAACCACCTGGGGTTGCATAACCTATCAGGGGTCTTGTCCCTGAAGAAGATTAATTCTCCCTCTTCCAGCAGCCACTGATTGCCTGTAGCTCTTGATCTAGGAGTAGAGTCTTGTGAGAGTTCCTCCGTTAACATTGGCATGTCAACTGGTACTGTCATTCTTCAGGTCATATTTATTTGACCACATTTTTGAGCTTTCGTGGGTACAGATTCCCTGTCATAGACAGCAGACACTATCTCACAGCTAAGGTCTTGGTCTCCCAGCTCTTACAATCTTTTGTCCCCCTCTTTCGGGACATTCCCTGAGCTTCAAGGTTGTGTTTTAGGTGTATTAATTGGAGTTGGGCACCACACAGTCTGTTGATCTCTGAATTTTGGACCAGATGTGAGCCTCTGTAATGATCTCCAACTGCTGCAAAAAGAAGCTCTTTGATGAGGGCGAGAACCACGTTCAATTAGGAATTATACTGGTTTAGGAAAGTGGTTGTAAGAGGTTCTCCGCTAAGGTCCAACACCTCAGCAGCCACAAGTAGTTGGCTGGCTTTGTAGTATCAAGCATGAATGCCTTCCTCTTGAGTAGGTCTTCAATCCAATTAGACAGCTGTTGGTTGCTCCCAAGATACAAGTGCCATTATTGCACCCTTGGGGCTATCTTGCCATCCTGCTCATTGTTGCGGTTTTATAGTTGGGCAGGATTATTGATTACTTATCTCCTTTGGCAAGTTGCATAACACCTTTTGCTACTAAGAAAGCTGGTCCTCCGGGAAGAGCTTCCGAGTCGGTTCCAGCTCAGTTCGTCTAAGTCTTACGTCTAGCACGTGTGGTGTCTTCAGCAATAGGATTTTACATTCAACTTCTGGGAGGAAACCAAGGGCAGCTGCAACAGCCTATATTGGGGGAGTCTTTTTCACTGCCCCGGCCAACAGCTCAAAAGGAGGTTCTATGCCTGGCACTGGGGGGTTGTTAGACAGTTTATGGCTCTTGGAGGGAGTATTATTGATGCAGAAGAAACTCAAAGTGATGTCATTGGTATTATAACTAATAGATTTGCTTAGGAGACATTAACTCACACAAGTGAAATTTAGATATCACAGCACTGCCTCTAAAATACCAGCCCCAAATAAATAGTATGCTAACCAGGTCTGTTAGAGATAAGAGAAATTTAAGGTGCTAGGATGCAAATGTTTATTCACTGAGATTGACCAGTCATTAGGTTCTGTGGTGGTTTGAAAGAGAACGGTCCCCATAGGCTCATAGATTTGAATGTTTGGTCATCAGGGAGTGGTATTATTTGGAAAGATTAGAAAGTGTGGCCTTGTTGAAGGAAGTGTGTCACTGGGGGTGGGCTTGAGGTTTCAAAAGTCCAAGCCAGGCCCAGTGGCTTGCTCTTCCTGCTGCCTGCGGATCCAGATGTAGAACTCTCAGCTACTTCTCCAGCACCATGTCCTCCTGCATGCTGCCACGCTCCCTATTTTGACGATAATGGTCTTCTGAAACTGTAACCCAGCCCCAATTAAATGATTTCTTTTGTAAGAGTTGCTGTGTTCATGGTGTCTCTTCACAGCAATAGAACAGTGACTAAGACAGACTTCTTTCCCCTAATAAAGACATACCTCTAAGTGACAGCTCAGGGAAGGCAGTGCAGAGTTGCAACCATCATTAAGTCCTGTCCCACCATTAAATTACCTGTGCTCTGATCAGGAAAGGCATAATCCTGCCGGGTGGGCAAGGTGACCCTGGCTAACAACTATTTGAAAGAGAACAACAGGAATATGCTTAAAATAATTCTGGTACTATGTAACATGTGTGTTGTCCTAAATCTCCTATCTGCCTAAGCAGGCAGACTGGCAGTCTCCTGACGCTGTTTAAACTATTTGAAGTGTAACCTGGGGCCAGGACCTGAAGGAGATGTAAGGATGGCAGCATATGTAAAATGCATAAGCCTAAGGTGCAAGCAGCTAATGAAATCTTGTACCGGGGAGTCAATTCTTACTTGGCCATTAGCCCCAGATAACCCAGCACTATTAAAGAGATTTCCTTCATCTCTAAGTGTATTTCTCACTGAGAAAGCATATTATTTCCATTCCATTATGACAGACAGCCCACTGCATCCCAGGGCCTCAGCGCCAGGCTTGGCTTCTGAATGTGCCCTGCCCCAGCTACTCATCTGGCAAGTTTACCAATGCCTCCAAGGCTCAGTGTGGTTGAGAGGGAAGTGGCTATGATGGTACTGTCACCTCAGGGCTGCTGTCAAGATGAAATGAATGAGCAACGGTAAGCAGAGTGCCTGACAAGCTTCCTGGTACATGGTGCTCAGCAGAAGTTTAGTGCTGTCTTAAATATGTTTAAAAAAAAAAAGAAAAAAAAGGGGGGGTCAAAATGGAGACTGACAGAAACAGCCCCAAATGCACAGCCTCGGGAAATTCAAATGACTTGTCTTTGGGTCTTGTTTAAAGGTAACACAGGAAAATCAAGAACTGAATTCTACTGGTAACATTGAGCATGGAAGCACAAGAGCCAGTCTGTCACCTGGTTATCTCATACCCAGTTAAGCATTAAGGCCTTTTGTAGAACTCAGAGTGTTTCCACTACTTTCAAAAGCACAGCTGTGGTGAACATGTTCACTGGAATGTCCACACACGAAGGCCTAATATTTGGTTATTGTCGAATTAATTAGTGTTTGGATAGATGAGCACAGATATTTCATGCTGTTGAACTATTTTCCTGGGGCAACTTTCTGCATGTTGAACTACAGGGTCAAGTGGTTTGACCCGATGGTATGCAAATTGCTTGCAAAAATATTTTTCCAAATTGCACAGCCTCCAGCAGAACAAGCGTGGGCCAGCTCCACCTTGGCTCTGTCAGCACCCGGCTCTGTAATTTCCCCACCCCTGAGCCTGACAAGATTAGATCTACATGAAGGCAGTCAAGGACTACCTGTTCTTCCCACAAGCTCCACGGCTCCCCTGTACCCTTCAGGTTCAGAGGGCGATGGATTCAGTTCTGTCCAAACCTGGGCTCTGTCCTAGAAGCTGGCCCTTTGCAAAGTCTCTTGGTTCTTCCCCTGACTCACTGGCTGTTCTCCTCCATCCAGACACTAGTTAATATGGATTCCACCTGTGAAGAACGGTATCAGACTCCTGAATCCCCATGTCCTTCTGGCCTCTGCTCCAGTATCTGGCATTTTCAACCCCTCTGGCACTTCTCTAACCCACTGGTCTATTAGAGCACCACTGCCCTGCTTCTAAGGTCATACACCTCTTCCTCGGTTGCCACAGCAGTGTTCTTCAATTGGCCCTCAGTGCCAGATGGCTCCTCCCTTGTGGTATCGGGTCCTGGGAGCTGAAGGTATAGGCTCTGATCCCAAATCTGCCCAGATGTTGCCTGTTTGACTTCAGTGCATCTCAGTGCTGGCCTAACGTCCACCTACCATTTTTGTATGACCTACTAACGTGTATTCAAAGGCACCTCACTCTGATGCTCCCAAAACACGGTGCTCTCCAGTTTCTATGTTCTCGAACGCTCTTCTCCCTCCCAAGTCTGCCCCCTTCCCTGCCTCCTGGAATTCTATTTGTCCCTCCTGGGACTTTTCTGACGTCATCATCACCCCTGCCAGGCCTTCTTGCTCTCAGGTAGAGAGATTACATCCCACTGTGTGTGCCCTTCTTCCTCTCTGTCCATTCCATCCCTCTCACATAGGGCTTTTGGGACCCGTGTGTCTGTGTCTGGGCATGTGACCATAAGTTCCTGTGGTTAGAAAACACAGGTAAGGTCTCTTTTTTTCCCCGCTGTGAGCCCAGCACAAGGAGGGTGGGCAACAGATTCTGCTCAATTACTTAGTGGATTAATATCTTTAAACAAGTATTTTCCAAAATGCATGGCTATTCTGGCATTTCTTTGCTTGGAACACTAGCAGTCATCACGTAAATTAATCAGTTCCCTCTGTAACGGTCATCAAGTGCTCGGCATGGGCCAGCAGCAGCCTTGTGGAATGACAGGGAGCACAAAGACCTTGTCATTGCCTCCAATTACCCAACTCTCCATTATGAAAATGAAAGGACCACGCAGAAAATGCTGAGACAGTCAGAATGTTCAAGACCCCACAGAACTGGGCTTCTGTCTGCTATGAAAGGAACTGGATAGATATTTCCACTGCGCCAGATCATGATTGAAATGACTTAAAACACAGACTGTCATGCCACACTGGGAAATTCTCTCTGAGAGGCTCGGAGAACCACTGTCAGAGGGAAAGGCAAATGTCTTCTGGAGCATGGATTGTGGGCACAGGAGGGCCACTAGATCCAGATGGGGATAAATAGCCCAAATACACCGAGAGCCAAGAAAAGTCTGACTTCCCTCTTCCTCCGGGTCCACTCTCAGCTGTTCTCATG